AGAGAGAGAGAGAGAGAGAGAGAGACAGAGAGAGAGAGAGAGAAAGGGCAAGGGCACACTTTTAAATAACCACAGCTCGTGATACATCACTGTTATAAGAACAGAAAGCGGGGGGCATCTGTTCCCGTGGTCCAATCACCTCCCACCAGGCTCCTTCTTCAACATGAGAAATTACAATTCGGCATGACATTTGGGTGGGGACACAGAGCCAAAGCATATCAGTAATATCACAAAATACAATTAATGATTTAGAGGAAAAAAAAGTCATGCAACCAGTTTACTTAATACCAACAATGATTTTGTCTCTCTCTATGTCTGCATGTATTGGGGGAGAATTTAGGAGCTGTGTTGCAATAGATAATCAGAGAAGCAATCATTATAAAGTAGCATTTCAGTAGAGACCATATAGAGATGAGGAAATAACCTTTGGTGACATTTAGGAAAAGAATATTCAAACAGAGAATATATGAGTGGAAGCGCTACTAATATGGAAGATACATTTTGTTGGCAACTGGGCGGATAGAACTGCCATATACAGAGATGAATTAAGAAAGAAGTAATATCTGTTTTTATAGGCATGTAGTACATCAGAAGTTTAACTTTGACCCTCTTAAATTTGAGGCTTCTAATAGGCAGTCTATTAATAACTAAGGTACCTTTGTATAAATATAAGCCTGGAGCTCAGACAAGGACAAAGGGTGGCATGGAAATGTAAATTTGGAGTCATCAGAATGAAGCTGGTGCTTCAAGATATGAGATGAGATTTTACTATTTAGAGGGTGAATGATTTTAGAAACAAATTATTGGAATTGAGGCTGGACCTTCTAACATTTAGAGGTCTGGGAGATGAGGAGAAAGATCAGCAAAGGAGGCTACTGCTAAGTCAGTAGAATGGCTTGAACCTGGAAGGGGGATTATGCCACTTCACACCCACCCGGGAAACTGTGGGGCACCCCTTCAAAAAAAAAAAAAAAAAAAAACGTAAACATTTTATCTCTGAAACAAAAAAACAAAAAAACAAAAACCTGCATTATTTGTCCATGTAGCAAAACCTGTGGGCACTGATAAATACATACAATAGTGTGTGTGTTTGTTTACAATAATGTATGTGTGTGTTAGATTTATTTTCCTGCAAATAAGCCCCTCATCTCAAGCTTCGGGTGGTGATCTTGTCAGTTCTCATGAGCTAAACACAATCAGTGCAGGTCAGTGTGTGCCTGGATTCAACTCCAGGGGTGAGGCAGGTGCAGGTCTGGAGCTGACCTGATGTTTCCACAGGTATAATTCTTCTGTAAGTGCTAGGAGTGAACAACATACTGGTAGCAGTATGTCCTGCTGTATCAGACTCCAGATTGTTTGAATATTGCACTTCAGCTTTTAACCACTTTCTCTACCCACGTAATTAGTATCCAGCAATGTCACCTACATAATTATATTGCATTTGGGCTGGACTCAGTTCCTGTTGCACCCCACCTGTTTGCACCTGGACAGAAAATGAAAGTGCTCATAGAATAAGCATCACAGGTGACAGAACACCCAGACTCAGAACTAGAGACTGATAGGAAATACTTCATGAACTGTGCACTGCTGAGGTTTTGTTGTGAGCAGAAAAGAGCTAAAAGCCTGATTCAGCTCATTTCTACTCATTAATCACAAGAGGTGAGTGGTCTGTGCTGTCCAAAATTTTGCTTGTTGATGGAAATTAATTAGTAGATTATTCATTTAAAATGCTTTTATACATTTTAACTCTTCTATTTCTTAGTCATGAGTTGTAATCTTGCTTTTGTTTTCTCATTTAACCTTGATAAAATTCCTATATAGTAAATGCTCATACAGTAGACTCCTTTCATTTTATCCACTCATTATTCAGTTCCCTTTATTCTGATAAGTACATTTATGTGTCCCTGCTATCAAACTGGCATCAGGCTACCTGCATGTACACTTTAGGGATGGAGTGCATGCTGTAATTCAGGACTAGTCAATCAGAGTACATTGTTCATGGACGGACAAATGTTCCAAGAAGGCCAATGAGATAACCTAGAAATGTTGAAACTGAGAAGGAAAATATTCTGACCTAACCTGATGATATGAGAGAGGAGCTCCTGGGACCACTTAGCCATTCTCTCTGAGAACTTGCCTTACGAGAAAAGCCAAAACGGTGAAAGTATGCCCAGTTATCTTTTGTTTCTTTTTTAACTAAAATGTTTGAATTTGTTGTTTCTTGTAACCAGATGATACTACACTACATATTCACTATTTTCCTATTTCATCTAAGAAAATTACAGCTCAGAGATGGTCAGAAATATCTTACTTTCCACATTCACTATGTTTTGTAGGAATGAAGCCACGATTGGGAATGAAGTAATATTAGTGTTTAACCTACCCTTTTTACATAGCAACTACTTGCTCTCTGTTGTTTCTGATGAAGTCCTTTGAAAATTATTTTTAAAGGGCTTTATTGATAATGAAAAATGAGGAAGAATAAAACTTATTTTCTAGCCCAAGGTAGTTGCCCATTAACAAAAAAAAAAAAAAAAAAAAAAAGTACAAAGTTTTTCAACTACATTGCCCTCCTATCTGAAATTCCTTCAAATGAAGAAGAGCCAAGCAGAGATAACTGGTTTAATGAGCTTGAAAAGTGCTACCTCTATCTACAGCATCATTTCTCCTGGTAGTGGCTGTCCTGTTTTCATCATGTGCCATATTCCAGTCACTATGAACAGTACTTCACATATTTTCTCAGTGATTCTTTGAAATAACCAGATGTGAAAAAATGCTATTAATATTAATTGGCACTGTACTTTAAATTAATAAGACAGATCCTCAAAAAGATAACTTTTTTTTTAAAATCAAAACCTGGCAAGTATGGACAGTCCACAATTAATATGATGCCACTTAAGATTCAACTTGACGTTGATGTGAAAACAACACACTTTCAGGAGAAACCATACTTTGAGTACCCACACAATCCTTCTGCTTTTCACTTTCATTGCATTAGATAATTCAACACTATATTATAAAATAGGCTTTGTGTTAGATAATTTTGCCCAACTGTCGGCTAATGTAAGTGTTCTGAACACATTTAAGGTAGGCTAGGCCAAGTTATTATGTTTAGTAGGTTAGGCATAATACATGCGTTTTTGACTTACAATATTTTCAATTTACGATGAGCTTATTGGAATGTGACCCCAGATTTAATCAAGGAGCATCCATAGTAGGCTGTGAATTTAATTCAGCTCTGAATTTATAATACAGAGTATATACTATAGCTTTTCTTATATGGAGTACAATGAACATTTTATCTTCTATTACCTCATTTAAATTACATAAAACAACCTTAACTCACAGAGTTAATAACAGAAGATTACTTACAGCATACTCCCATAGAAAAGTATTTTCCCCTTATTCTTTTGGTGAGCTTGCTTTGTTTTTCATTTTCCCTAATTTAATATTCTTTCCTTATTCTCTTTAGGTCAAGGGGAGAAGAGATATGTCACAGTGACATAGGTGTTGTCTCCTCAGGATGCCCAATTCACACTTTATTTCTGACTTCTAGATGGAGACAAATTACTTTTCCTGGCATTAATAAATAGATTATTTATAATCCTATGCAAACCACAAAAGAATGCATTAAATATAAAACCTATCTTCCTTGTTCTATTCACACACACACACATACACACACACATTGAAGTATGTAAACATGTTGTGTCATTTTCATTTTATTAATACACATACTGAAGCGAAGGAGGTAAAGTGATGATCATGATGATGATAACACTAATGAAAATCTACAGCCATAAAACATGAAGTGCCTTAGATTAAATGAGAAAAGTGACCTAACCCAATCTAACTATCAATTACATCTCTTTTCCTTTGCACAATGACACACTGACCCCTTTGATTATCTCTAATGCTTTGCCTCTATCCAATTTCTACCTTACTCCAATAAAAAAGGGGAGGATAAATCCACAGCTAGATTATTTATCAAGGCTCATGTTCAATATTGGCATCTCTTATGGAAAGTTATATAAAAAATAATGGGACAGACTTGGATATTGCTTCTGATTCAATCATTTAAAAAATTTATCCTAAGCATCAGGCCTGTTTCTTAACATGAGAAAGATGCCCACTGCAACCTTTTTGCAAAAACTAATATTCTCCCAATTTTTACAATGAATAGAATAAAAAGAAGAGAGACACACAGAGACAGAAACAGGTTAATTTCATTATTACCAACACAACCTCTGCCATCAGCACTACTATCCTGTTTTGCTTAAGGTATTTAACGAGATATGTCAGGTATGAATTCATGTTGTTTTTTGTTAAAATTGTATGCATTTTTAGTGCCTAATAAATGTTTGGCAGAAGGTTTACATAGTAGAAACTCAGTAAAGTTTACTAAATGAATAGAGACTACACATTAGGTATAAAAATTTTAGAAATTTCTTTCATAACAAGAATATTGAAGGTTTACTCATATAGTTTTGATAAATTACTATGGTGTCACCAAATGACAGACAGAAGATAATTGCTTCACTTTTTGGAAATCACTTAACCATTTGTTTCTACTTACTTATTTTAGAGGCAGGGCAAAATATGAGACAAAAAAGGTACAACTCTCCAGTCACAAACTAATTTTATCAAAAATGATCATAATGATGATAGTAGCTAAGCACAGGTTGAGTATCTCTGATCTGAAATGCTTGAGACCAGAAGTGTTTTAATTTCATATTTGTTGAGATTATGGAACATTTTTAGTGAACATTCCTAATCCAAAAATATTAAATCCAAAAATCTCCAATGAGCATTTTTCAGATTGTCATGTCTGTGCACAAAAGTTTTGGATTTTGGAACATTTTGGATTTCAAGTTTTTGGGTCAGGGATGCTCAATTTGTATGCATATTAGTAAGAATTTGAAGTGTTTTCCATATGTGATTTATCTTGTTAAATGTTCATAATTATCCATTTCTGAGCTAGAAGATTGATTAATTGCTAGGAAGGAATTTAGTGATTTATCCATGGTCATGTGAAAATTGTGGGCATGAGATTTTTTTTAGACGGAGTCTCCCTCTGTCACCAGGCTGGAGTGCAGTGGCATGATCTCAGCTCACTGCAACTTCCAACTCTCTGGTTCAAGGGATTCTCTTGCCTCAGTCTCCCAAGTAGCTGGGATTACAGGCAGGCACCACCATGCCCAGCTAATTTTTGCATTTGTAGTAGAGATGAGGTTTGTGGGCATTAGATTTATACCTCATTTTCTAATTTCTGTGTCTTTTGCTTCATGTACCTCACAGATTCTACTTACTTATTGAAATGGTGAGAAAAACTCTATCAATAGTCAAATATATAAATAAAATATTATATATGATAAAATACTACACAATAGTGATAGCAAATTAAACATTATTGTGTCTATACATGTGCAATTATCTATTAAATAAAACATTGTACAAAAGAAAGCAGACACAAAGAGTGTGTACAATATCCTTTCACTTATGGAATGTTTAAAATTATAAAATCTAAGATATTAGAATTCAGGTTACCTTTGGGCATAAGAGACAATGACAGGAGGGAGTACAATATGGAGTTTTTGGAGAAGTGAGTATGTTCTGACTCTTGAATAAAGTTCTGTCTTCGCAGGTGTCTTCTTTTTGTGACATGGCTGCTCATCTGTCTGTTCACTTAAGAAGTACAGGATTTTCTGAATGTAGGCTATAATTCAATAAAGTTTTATTAACATGACAAATGCTAAAAAACAAGATTGATAACAGGTAAGTAATTTCCATTTAAAAACATAACAAAAAGCAGACCATAGGGAAAAAAAACCCAAATGTTCACTGTGCAAATCTTAAGTTTTTAAGCCCTTATAGAAATACATAGTATTTACTTGGAGTAAATATTCTATTTTCTAACAAATCCATGTGCTGTTTATTTGAAGAAAGAAAATACTTTATTGTAACAGAGTTATTTTATTAGACTTTTAGTGCTCCCAGATAATAGAAGTCACTGAAAGAAGTAATACAGCAATATTTATTTTTATGTATAATACCAGCTAAAAAAAGCAGAGAAAACACATAATATATGACATTTGGGTCAAAATTAATTAGTCTATATCAATTTCTTAATTATCTAAATATTGTTTAAAGGAAAATACTAATTATTAATCTCACCTAAATTCACAGTTGCTTTTACTTTTATTTTTCTTACAACATTTAAATCAGAATCTCAAAAAGAAGGTCAATGCCAAGTTATCAGAAGCTGAAGAACTTTCTAAAGTTTATTCTCTATGTATGCTTATATAATTCATTATATCTTAAAATATGCTTATGTTATACAGTGTTTTATTTCTATGTTGGTCATTTTTGTTAATCTTGAAATGCTCGTGAATGTCCAAAACAAAGGAGCAGATTTTGATATGTGCAGATTGATTCACAGATACATGTGTTGGATGGGGGGACTGCTTTGTCTTGAGAAAAATATTATAAAAAATTATACAATAATTTTACAGCTTAGATAAAATGAACAAATTCCTTAACAAAGAAAAACTTACCAAAAATGACCCCCAAAAGAAAGATAATATTTGAATATATCTCCATAAAGTTACAATTTTGAATCTTTATACAAAACATGCATCTGAAAAAATTCTGGGCCAGAATGGTTTCACTGGCAAATCACATCAAACATTTCAGGAAGAAAAAATGCCAAACTTGTAAAAATATTTTAAATAAATAGAATAGACACACCAGTACCAAACTTGTTTTATGAAGTTAGTATAGTCCTAAAATTAAAACTTGATGAAGATACCATAAGAGAATAAAATTATAGAATAAGATCCCTTACAATCCTACACTCACATATCCTTGAATGTATTAGAAATTTATGTCCAGCAACATATAAAAGAATACTAGTTTATTTCTGTGAAAGGCGGAATAAACCCCCCAAAGATGCCCAGGGGCTAATACCTGGAACTTCCAAAATCAGGGTATGTGACAAAGAAAAATTAAGGTATTAGGTAGAGTTGGGCTTGCCAATCAGCTAAACTTAAATATTAAATAGGTTATGTTAAATTATCTGCACAGAATAACAATGGTCCTTGCAAGTAGAACAAGGAAGAAGAAGGCAGAGAACAGAGAGATGGCAGAGTGACAAGGACTCAGTCCAATGTTCTTGGCCAATAAAGTATGACTTGCATAATTTGAGAGTCAGTATAGGAGTTGGTATTAACTGTGGGTCTTTTAAAAAAACTTTTAAGTTTAAGGGTACGTATACAGGTTTGTCATGTAAGTAAACTGGTGCCATGGGAGTTTGTTTTGCAAATTATGTCATCACCCAGGTATTTAGCTTAGCACCCATTAGTTACTTTTCCTGAGCCTCTCCCTCCTTCCACCATCCACCCTTCTGTAGGCACTTGGGTCATTTTTAATCTTGAAACCTTTATTATTGGAAAAAATAATAAAATAAATGATATCCAATTTTAAATCAACGTAAATTCATGCAGATTTTAAAAAATCTGTTACCTTGCCTGGATTTAAACACTATTAAAATTATGCACATCTTCAATGAATAAATCCAGTTTAAGACATTGGAAAATTACATAAATGCCTATTGATTTCAGGGAGTTAAAAAGATGGTATGAAAAATGAATGATTGATAGATTTAAGAAGGTAGACAGGGTGGAAGGACAAGTAAAATCTTGATTGCATGGAGAAAAATATTGATACATTCTATCTTCACATCCTGTGGAAGGATCATTTGCACTATGGTTCCAGCGGGAGCTCTGGGGCAATTGTTTTAGTTTAGTCATGCCCCAGGAGCTTGTTAGGAATGCAGATTCTCAGACCCTTCCCTGGACTAATTGAAGCAGAATTTACATTGTCACAAGATTGGAAGTCCATTTTGATGATATGCTATCTTGAGAAGAAGCATGGTATTATAGTCAAATAAGTTAAAATGATAGGTTTAGAATATATATGTACAGAATCAGAATCATTTTTATTTTATTTTTACTGCTCTCCAAATTCCTAACCAATATATGCATCCCAATATGCTCTACATTACCGCCTATAAATATTCCTAAAATTTGACAAATTGATTTTATTTCTGGGAGTTTATTTGCAGCTAAATTAATACAAATGGAGGGAAGACAAAAATAAGAAATGACACATCACTGTAATACATAAGACATAAAAAGAATGATTTTTTAACACATAGAAGGCCAAATAAACGAGGGACATTCCTACCATAGATTAGAAATTATCTAACATATTATTACTATAAAATTTATAATAATGAAAATAGAGGTTATGATATAAAACTGAATAATAAAAAGGCAAACATATATGTATTATGATCACAATCAAATGAACATTAAAAACTAAGCATATTTCAAAGGAACATTTCAAGAGTTTACTAAAATCAGAGTTTATTCCTTTGCCAGTGGAACTGTGAGTCATTTAAAAATTTTGTTCAGTTGATAAAATGTTTCTAATATCTTTAGCCAGATACGTTAATTTTAAAATAAAAAAATAAATTAATTGGTAATAGTATTTTTTGGATATGAAGACACTAAAGGCTAAAATTGGAATTCCTTTTGCTGAATATGAATAAACATACATGCAATAAAATAGGGCAGGAGAAAAAATTCTAAGTTGTCCTAAATTCTTTCTCTTACTGAAAATAGGACAATGAAAGAAGAATTCTGCCTTGCCCTAAATTCCCTCTGTTTTTGCTAAGTCAGCACTAATAAGAGAGAAGGTGGCATTTTTGACATATAGTTCTGATTGTCACCCAGAGCACAGTTACTGCCCACCAATGTGTAGTTGAAGTTAACTCTTGGAGAGTCATTTTATCCTCTAGAACTGTAAATATGTAAAGAATTCTCTGTGAACACAGTAGAGAAACGTGTGTGGAAGGGGAAGGATCAACGGAGTTATTTAAAAATGTCTACAGCAATCTGTGAACCAGCTTCATTTTGGGTAGCAGAATGAAACTAAGAAATGACTCCGTGTTCTACTTCTCTCACCAAAGGTATTGCTTTCTAGACCTCTTTGATCAAAATCAATCTAGGCTCTCCCTGTTAATTTCGAATAGGCCAGAGTGTAATTTAAATACAATGGAAATATGTGTGCCTATTATTTTTAACAAATTTTATCATACCACATTCATGAATTAAAATATTTGATATCAAATAAGATCAATTTATAGAATCATGACAAACACATTTAATTTGTTTAGACTAAATAAAATATCTCAATTCTACATAATTTAAAATGGATTTTTACACAAGATATCTTTAAACGTTTATTATAGATAATTGAAAAACTTTGAAACACCAAACCAGCAACCCTAAGCAGCTCATTATTATAAATATACTACTATTCTGACTGCTATCTGTAAACAAAATCATAGTTAATTTAAAAAATGACAATAACACAACACAAAATCAACATTCCCAATACTTTTACCATGTGCTTGTTTGCTTCTGAAGAAATCAATCATTCACCAAATGTTATGAAGACAACTTTAAACTGCTATTCCTGTTTCTACTCTCACTCTCTACTCTTGGAAAGTCTTCAGTCAGGAAGGCCACTGACTTTGGGCACTGAGACATTCCCCCCATTCCATCCCCCCCAAAAGTAAGCAAGTTTTATTAAAGCCTTCTATCCTTTATCCTTTGAAGCAATTATTTCCACTTTCTAAAACAATATCAGATAAAATCTCTTACTATACAGTTGTCACAAATATTTCATATACATAGTTTTAAAACGTTAACATTCTCAGATGCTGAAGAGGATGTGGAGAAATAGGTATGACTTTACACTGTTGGTAGGAGTGTAAATTAGTTCAACCATTGTGGAAGACAGTGTGGCAATTCCTTGAGGATTTAGAACAAGAAATACTATTTGACCCAGCAATCCCATTACTGGATATATACCCAAAGGATTACAAATTATTCTGCTATAAAGATACATACACAACATATGTTTACTGCAACACTGTTCACAATGGCAAAGACTTGGAACCAACCCAAATGCCCATCAACAATAGACTGGATAAAGAAAACGTGGCACATATACACCATGGATTACTATGCAGCCATAGAAAGGATGAGTTCATGTATTTTGCAGGGAGATGGATGAAGCAGGAAACCATCATTCTCAGCAAACTACCACAGGAACAGAAACCCAAACACCACATGTTCTCACTCATAAGTGGAAGTTGAACAATGAGAACACGTGGACACAGGGAGGGGACTGTCACACACTGGGGCCTGTCAGGGGTTGGGGGTAGGGGACAGATAGCATTAAGAGAAATACCTAATGTAGATGACAGGTTGATGGGTGCAGCAAACCACCATGGCAGGTGTATGCCTATGTAACAAACATGCAGATTCTGCACATGTATCCCAGAGCTTAAAGTTTAATAACAATAATAACTCACAAAAGTTTTAGCATTCTCAAGCAAAAGAAAGTAACATAATATGAAACATGAACTTTTACTTCTTTTTATATGATTGATATAAAATCATTGATTACTAGAAAGGGTTATAATTATTTTGTTTCTCAGTAATATCAATTTATTGTATTAAAGAAAGAATATGTTAAGTCCTTCAACCAAAGTAGAAACAGACGCAACCATCTGTAATATCCCTGAAAGAAGATGATGAATAGATATTTCTTGTACTTGAATGTGAAATCCAAGGTGGGAGGGATACTTCATCATCATTCTATATTCACATAACACAGCATTTGAACATTACTAGGTTCTTAATAAACTTAATATGTGGATGGCTTGGTGTTCTTGTTGAAGTGGTTCCTTGCAATGTGGAGTATAAAGTAAGTAAAATAAGTGATAAGGATGAAAAAGTTACTCTTTTTATTAAACTAATATCTCCTTATACTGTCTAATCATTGCTTTTTATTTCTGAGCATTAAAGCAAACCATAAGTTGGCATCAATCAGATTCAGACAACAGAGAAAACTGCCTCAGGTTATATCAGTCAGTATTTGTGAAGAGTTATCAGAAAATCAGTGACAGAATTAATAGAGGTGGTGGTAGAGATTGATTACTATTGAAGGAAAGAGGGGCAGGAAGATTATTTTAAGAAAGAAGTTAATGTCTGGACAAAGATTGTTGAAGCAATATGCAATCTCAAGAGTATATGTGAAGAGTAATATGAAGAAAATTAAAAGAAATGCATCTAAAATGCAAAAGAAAAACGCTAGAGTGAAGGGCAGAGCAAAGGGCAAATCACACATTTTCTTTGGAAAATTATTGAGAGGTTAGGTAAGAAAAACTTTCATTTCCTTGTAACAAATTTTTAATCTATAAATTCCAAATGTGCCAATCATTTATCTGAACAACTTTTTATGCTAAGTTGCATTCGACATAACCCAACAAATGGTGGGTAAATACTTAAAATGGTGTTATTGTGTCAATATTTGTAGGATGTGCAAACTTTGGTCCCAGATGCCTAAGCTATTTGAAAGTAAAATTACCTAAATTTTTTTTCGTTAATTATTTTAATCAAAATCAGCATTCTCCTAGAAGATACAGTACCCCGGACATGTTTGGATTATTGTCCACTCTTTAAAATATTATTTTAAATGAAAAGCAAGACCCTTCTCCCCAGTAGACCCATATTTGTTTGATTTGATTTGAAGGGTTCTCTTTCATGGGTTCTTGCTGAGACTTTTTCATCACAGAGCTGTGAGGCTTTGCCCTTAGCCACATAGTTACTTGCCCATCTTCACTTAATGGCACTCATAAAAATCGCTGAATCAGAGCGAATGGTCTGTGTTTCTCCCACTGCCCTAGTCCTTACAGCTCTTGTTAGGGGCTCATTGGTTGCTATTGGGAACATTCGCTAAGGGTCTGTAGCTTGGGTATTGAGCAAAAACTTCTCCAAGGAGTTTTGTTTCTCTTTGTTTTTGCATTTTAAACAGTGTTGAGAAATGCTTCAGATATGATCTTCCCTTTGAAATAAAATTCTCTCAAGTTGTTTTAATATCTCTCACTGTGCAGCTTTCGGAAGCTTTCACACCCTGTATCTTTAAATGCCCTTTGTTCATCTTTGCAAGCATTATCCTTGAAATATTGAAAGTAAGATGGATCTGCTACTTTTGTAATAAAAACGAACGTACCAGACTTATTCATCAAGGTCAATATATTAAGCACACAAAGGACATAAGTACTTCTCACTGAGTTCCTTTTCACCTATCAGCTGGGAACTTGGTACTCATTTAAGTTGTGATTCATTAGCCATTGGGGTCTGTCACTTGCCAAGATCACAGACTCTTATAGCCAGAAGGAACTGTAGAGGGTTAGAAATTTACATATTAGTACTCAGATGAGAAGTGTAAATGCATCTTCTTGACTTTATATAACTGACCTATTTTGCTTTCTTGAGCAAGCATCCTGCTGTGTTACGAGGTATGGAAAAAAGATATTTTTAACATGTTAATTAAAAGCATTGTAGTTACTTTTGATTGTAAAATATGCTTTTCAGCAACTCATCTTTTTATAAGTAAATGCTAAAATATTCAGTTTTCATCTTCCTAGTGCTCCTTCTGAAGGTAGGAAGTGTTTGGGTGTGCAGAGGCTGGTGAGCTTCAGTGGTTTTTACAAAGGCATGTGTGGGCATGATGGAAATTAACCTGGAGTATGAATAGATAAAAACTGGCTTTGCGGTCCAGTATGGTTGGGCCAGACCCCAGGAATGCTTGTTGTCCTGCTGTAATTATTAATATTGACCTTGTTACTCAAAAAATGGTAAGGTTTAGACAATACAATGAATGGTCAGTCTAAACAGATGAGGATGACAGAAGCTAGTAATGGTGACCACAGTCCATGGCAGAGCAGTTACTTTGTGTTTGATCTGATGGTCTGAAATCTAGTACATATATTATTTCATTTGGTTTGTTTATTAATCCAGCCAATATCTGAGCACTTTTCATGTGCCAGACACTCTCATAGGTTCCAGGAGATTTGTCATTAAACAAAACAGCTAAATCTCTGCTGTTTGGAAGCCTACATATTAATGTTATTGATTTATGGTCCACATTTTGAGAAACATGAAATGATTTAACTTATTTTATAGATGATAATAAAAGGCCTCCAAAGTACAATAACTTGTCCAAAGTCAAGTAATGGGTTGATGGCAATTCATAATTAGAATCCCAGTGATACACAGTATTTTCTTGACACTTTCACAGGACTTGTGACAGGGGTGCACTGTTTATTCAGCCCACCCTGCTCAACCCCTCTTGGGGGATAGCATGCCAGTGAACAAGTATGGGAACCAGCCAGCTGCTTCAGTACTGGCCGGAGCAACTCTGCTCACTTGGGTCTGCTGCTCTCCACCCCTCGTGGAAGGGAGTGTGCAGGTGAGTGAGTTCAGGAACTGGCTACTTTAGTGCCAGCAGGATCTAATTCCGTGTAGGTCCCATAGCAGCCTCCAGGTGGGGGTGCCTATGACTCCAAGGTCCCAGAGGGCGTGTTACAATGCTCTCTTAGCTTCACCATCCACAGACAGCAGTGTGTTATCAGCTCAATGAACCCTTTGCCTCATTGCATGTAGCGGCTGCCCTTTACCAGAGAGGGCAAAGGGCCAGTGTGACAGCCTTTTTGGGTACCTGCAGTTGACACATCCCAAATTCTTGTCTGGTGCCCCAGAGGAGTGAAGTCATACAGATGAACTGAAGGATGTTGAATGTGAAGAATTTTATTGAGTGATGAAAGCAGTGCTCGGTGGA